TTTATGGGGTTATTAAAATGTTTAACAAGCAAGGGTTAGCAAGCGGGAAGGGAGGGTCCCCCTTCCCCTTTCCTTCAGTTTGAGTCCCTTACATGCCATTTAAAAACACGATTAATGCACCTTGATAAACCGGTTATGGTTACGCTAATTAATCGTTAGGTGTCGCTCTGAACACAAACAAACACGTAACGCGAGGAATATGAGACCTTTTGTTGTAGAGGTTGTTGTTGTAGTTTTTGGTTTCAAATTCCAGGATAAAAATCTAAAAATCGCAAGCACCTTTAGGCCTATAACAAACAAAAAATGCGGTTAGGCCTCCATGTAATGCGTGTTAGCCAACAATTTGGCATATTTATGTTTATTAGCCGGGTCACAGGGAAATGATGCCAATCGGAAAGGGCAGAGGACCCTCAATATGGAAATATTTTTTTTTTAAATAAAAATAAAATTTTAAAATTAGTTTTTCAGGTTTTATTTTGTAACAATCAAAGCGATAAAAGTTTAATAAATGGTTTTGCAAAGTGTGTGCATGTGTGTGAAAATGCGAGGTGATTGTCGGTCGCCAATTTGGTTCACTTTGATGGTTTCGTGTTCTGGTTATCGTCACGTATTGTGAGGTGTTCATTAAAGCTGTAATGAAAAATACAAAAACACCAAACACAAATTATGACACACCATTCACAAAAGGCCAGGGAAAGTGTGGAACAACAAAAAAATTCCCCCAGGCTAGATAGAGGTTAATATAATATTTTACAATGGAAATTGGTTAATAATAGGGAAAAAACTGGGTAAATAAAAAGGAGGGGAGGGAAAAAGAGGAAGGCAAATGTAGAAGTAGCTGAGCCCCTTCAGCTCTTCTATAGAAGAAGCTGAGCCCCTTCAGCTCTTCTATAGAAGAAGCTGAGCCCCTTCAGCTCTTCTATAGAAGAAGCTGAGCCCCTTCTGCTCTTCTATAGAAGAAGCTGAGCCCCTTCAGCTCTTCTATAGAAGAAGCTGAGCCCCTTCAGCTCTTCTATAGAAGAAGCTGAGCCCCTTCAGCTCTTCTATAGAAGAAGCTGAGCCCCTTCAGCTCTTCTATAGAAGAAGCTGAGCCCCTTCAGCTCTTCTATAGAAGAAGCTGAGCCCCTTCAGCTCTTCTATAGAAGAAGCTGAGCCCCTTCAGCTCTTCTATAGAAGAAGCTGAGCCCCTTCAGCTCTTCTATAGAAGAAGCTGAGCCCCTTCAGCTCTTCTATAGAAGAAGCTGAGCCCCTTCAGCTCTTCTATAGAAGAAGCTGAGCCCCTTCAGCTCTTCTATAGAAGAAGCTGAGCCCCTTCAGCTCTTCTATAGAAGAAGCTGAGCCCCTTCAGCTCTTCTATAGAAGAAGCTGAGCACCTTCAGCTCTTCTATAGAAGAAGCTGAGCCCCTTCAGCTCTTCTATAGAAGAAGCTGAGAACCTTCAGCTCTTCTATAGAAGTAGCTGAGCTTTTCAGCTCTTCTATAGAAGTAGCTGAGCCCTTCAGCTCTTCTATAGAAGTAGCTGAGCCCTTCAGCTCTTCTATAGAAGTAGCTGAGCCCTTCAGCTCTTCTATAGAAGTAGCTGAGCCCTTCAGCTCTTCTATAGAAGTAGCTGAGCTCTTCAGCTCTTCTATAGAAGTAGCTGAGCCCTTCAGCTCTTCTATAGAAGTAGCTGAGCCCTTCAGCTCTTCTATAGAAGTAGCTGAGCCCTTCAGCTCTTCTATAGAAGTAGCTGAGCCCTTCAGCTCTTCTATAGAAGTAGCTGAGCCCTTCAGCTCTTCTATAGAAGTAGCTGAGCCCTTCAGCTCTTCTATAGAAGTAGCTGAGCCCTTCAGCTCTTCTATAGAAGTAGCTGAGCCCTTCAGCTCTTCTATAGAAGTAGCTGAGCCCTTCAGCTCTTCTATAGAAGTAGCTGAGCCCTTCAGCTCTTCTATAGAAGTAGCTGAGCCCTTCAGCTCTTCTATAGAAGTAGCTGAGCCCTTCAGCTCTTCTATAGAAGTAGCTGAGCCCTTCAGCTCTTCTATAGAAGTAGCTGAGCCCTTCAGCTCTTCTATAGAAGTAGCTGAGCCCTTCAACTCTTCTATAGAAGTAGCTGAGCCCTTCAACTCTTCTATAGAAGTAGCTGAGCCCTTCAGCTCTTCTATAGAAGAAGCTGAGAACCTTCAGCTCTTCTATAGAAGAAGCTGAGAACCTTCAGCTCTTCTATAGAAGAACCTGAGAACCTTCAGCTCTTCTATAGAAGAAGCTGAGAACCTTCAGCTCTTCTATAGAAGAACCTGAGAACCTTCAGCTCTTCTATAGAAGAAGCTGAGAACCTTCAGCTCTTCTATAGAAGAAGCTGAGAACCTTCAGCTCTTCTATAGAAGAAGCTGAGAACCTTCAGCTCTTCTATAGAAGAAGCTGAGAACCTTCAGCTCTTCTATAGAAGAAGCTGAGAACCTTCAGCTCTTCTATAGAAGGAGCTGAGCTCTTCTATAGAAGTAGCTGAGCCCTTCAGCTCTTCTATAGAAGTAGCTGAGCCCTTCAGCTTTTCTATAGAAGTAGCTGAGCCCTTCAGCTCTTCTATAGAAGTAGCTGAGCCCTTCAGCTCTTCTATAGAAGTAGCTGAGCCCTTCAGCTCTTCTATAGAAGTAGCTGAGCCCTTCAGCTCTTCTATAGAAGTAGCTGAGCCCTTCAGCTCTTCTATAGAAGTAGCTGAGCCCTTCAGCTCTTCTATAGAAGTAGCTGAGCCCTTCAGCTCTTCTCTAGAAGTAGCTGAGCCCTTCAGCTCTTCTATAGATGTAGCTGAGAAGTAGCCCTTCAGCTCTTCTATAGAAGTAGTTGAGCCCTTCAGCTCTTCTATAGAAGTAGCTGAGCCCTTCAGCTCTTCTATAGAAGTAGCTGAGCCCTTCAGCTCTTCTATAGAAGAAGCTGAGCCCTTCAGCTCTTCTATAGAAGAAGCTGAGCCCTTCAGCTCTTCTATAGAAGTAGCTGAGCCCTTCAGCTCTTCTATAGAAGTAGCTGAGCCCTTCAGCTCTTCTATAGAAGTAGCTGAGCCCTTCAGCTCTTCTATAGAAGTAGCTGAGCCCTTCAGCTCTTCTATAGAAGTAGCTGAGCCCTTCAGCTCTTCTATAGAAGTAGCTGAGCCCTTCAGCTCTTCTATAGAAGTAGCTGAGCCCTTCAGCTCTTCTATATAGAAGAAGCTGAGCCCTTCAGCTCTTCTATAGAAGTAGCTGAGCCCTTCAGCTCTTCTATATAGAAGAAGCTGAGCCCTTCAGCTCTTCTATAGAAGTAGCTGAGCCCTTCAGCTCTTCTATAGAAGAAGCTGAGCCCTTCAGCTCTTCTATAGAAGAAGCTGAGCCCTTCAGCTCTTCTATAGAAGTAGCTGAGCCCTTCAGCTCTTCTATAGAAGTAGCTGAGCCCTTCAGCTCTTCTATAGAAGTAGCTGAGCCCTTCAGCTCTTCTATAGAAGTAGCTGAGCCCTTCAGCTCTTCTATAGAAGTAGCTGAGCCCTTCAGCTCTTCTATATAGAAGAAGCTGAGCCCTTCAGCTCTTCTATAGAAGTAGCTGAGCCCTTCAGCTCTTCTATATAGAAGAAGCTGAGCCCTTCAGCTCTTCTATAGAAGAAGCTGAGCCCTTCAGCTCTTCTATAGAAGTAGCTGAGCCCTTCAGCTCTTCTATAGAAGTAGCTGAGCCCTTCAGCTCTTCTATAGAAGTAGCTGAGCCCTTCAGCTCTTCTATAGAAGTAGCTGAGCCCTTCAGCTCTTCTATAGAAGTAGCTGAGCCCTTCAGCTCTTCTATAGAAGTAGCTGAGCCCTTCAGCTCTTCTATAGAAGTAGCTGAGCCCTTCAGCTCTTCTATAGAAGTAGCTGAGCCCTTCAGCTCTTCTATAGAAGTAGCTGAGCCCTTCAGCTCTTCTATAGAAGTAGCTGAGCCCTTCAGCTCTTCTATAGAAGTAGCTGAGCCCTTCAGCTCTTCTATAGAGGTAGCTGAGCCCTTCAGCTCTTCTATAGAAGTAGCTGAGCCCTTCAGCTCTTCTATAGAAGTAGCTGAGCCCTTCAGCTCTTCTATAGAAGTAGCTGAGCCCTTCAGCTCTTCTATGGAAGAAGCTATAGAAGTAGCAGAGCCGTTCTATAGAAGTAGTTGAACCATTCAGTTTTGCTATGGAAGTACCTGAGTCCTTCTGTAGCTGAGACCCTTAGCTCTTCTATAGAAGTAGCTGAGCCCTTCAGCTCTGTTATACAAGTAGCTAAGCTCTTCGGATCTTCAGGCCTTAGGCTCTTCTATAAAACGACTTCAAGCTCTTCCATGAAGAAGTCCCGGAGCACTTCTATAAATATGACCTGCAACTCTTTTATGAAGAACACTTCCATATTTTCCCTACCTTTCCCTGTCCAGCCCTCGAATTACCTTTTGTTAACATCGAAATTAATAACCCACTCTGGACTATGAATAGCCAACAAAAATAGTTAAGGACAATGGAAACATAACTTTGTAATTTATTGAAAAAAATCATGGACATGGAACTCCATCGCAGCAGCAACAACAACAACCATTTCATGGCAATATAAAATATATTTTTGTATGTAAAATAGTTGATCCGCCACTCTCCCCCTTCTGCACTTTGTGTGCATATTAAAGTGTCCTGACACGAACATTTGTGTCCTTTGTTGGGGGATAGGATAGCAAAGCAATCCTTTCATGGACTCAATGGGACAAATGCATTCATTTTTGTTTCAGGGAAAACCATATCGACACACACACACCGACAAACACACACACGAATACTCACACACATATCGGCGAACAAGAAAAATGACATTAAGTCATCAAGAACGAGCAACAACAACAAAAACCCCGATGCCATTTTAAATGCAGTTAAACAGCCAGTCAGTCATTCGGTCAGTTCGGGCCAACATTGATATAGGCAGCGGTCAAATACGCTTTGGCTTAACTACGTTGTTAGGTCAGTTCCAAGGGCCACAAAAACAGCAACAACAACAGACACGCAGAGTTTTCAACGCAATGAGGACGACAACAACAACAAGTCGGCCAATACAAAGCCATACAACAACACATGGCGTTCGCTTTATCCAGATCCTGATAATTTGTCTCCTAACAAGGGAATCTCTGGGCCGCACAGCTGCCTCCAGACAAAAGGCTTTAGAACAAATATTGGATAGTGGTGGTCATGGACGAAAGGCTGGCGATTCGGCGGGAGAGACTGATGACGATTGCGATAACGCAGATGGCATCTATCATCGGCCACATTTCACCAAAGGACGTTCGGTTATGGTGCAATTGTTTGAGTGGAAATTTGTGGATGTTGCCGAGGAATGTCGTCGATTTTTGGGACCCAAGGGGTATGGTGGGGTGCAAGTAAGTCCTGGTCCTCGTGGTGCAATTTCACCACGGTAACCAACAGCAACAGCTACACAATAATGTCCAAATATTAACTTCTCTTTATGTCGGATTCTGTTTTTTTCGGTGGTGTATCCGCTTAACTGTCATTCCTCTATTCCTGCACACACACACTCGTCCAGCTGTCACCCGTTCTGGAACACACAGTAATTAAAACGGATGGGCTTAATCATCCATGGTGGCAACGTTACGAAACCATTTCCTATCGTCTAAGCTCGCGTTCGGGTGATGAAACAGATTTCTATTCCATGAGTCGCATCTGCAATGATTTGGGTGTTCGGTTGTATGTGGATGTAGTACTAAATCACATGGCAGCTCCTTTGCTTCAGCTGCTAAACAATAAGACCACGAAGGCAGGAGCCGGATCATCACCACCCTCCAATGAAGCTTTTATTGTCAACACATTGTTGGCAACGGATGTTAACATATCGCAATCTTCATATCCTGAGGTACCCTACGAGGCGAAAGATTTTCATCGTTACTGTGCGATAAACCTGGCCACATCGAATGCCCAAGAAATGCGTAATTGTCAGCTAAATGGACATCCTGATTTGGATCATTCCCACAACACAGTACGCCAATCGATTGTGGCCATGCTAAATAAATTTATTGATATGGGTGTGGCGGGATTTAGGATTGATTCGGCAAAATATGTTTGGCCAATTGATTTGAAGGTAAGCAGGGAGGGAGGGGATGGGGGGAATAAGTGGTGGTCCCAAATGATAATCGCTGTTGTTGTTCTCTTGTTATTGTTTCATTTACAGCTTATTTATGAACAGTTGAAGGATTTGAATACGGAATATAATTTTCCGGCCAAGGCAAGGCCATTTATGTATCATGATGTATTCGATATGGGATTGGATCAGATATCGAAGTAAGGAAAAATAGAAAAGCAAATGCAAGCCATGAAAAAATATGTTTAAAAATGGCTCAGCTACTCCTATAGAAGAGCTGAAGGGCTCAGCTACTTCCATAGAAGAGGTGAAGGTCTCAGCTACTTCTATAGAAGAGCTGAATGTGGTCTCAGCTACTTTTATAGAAGAGCTGAAGGTCTCAGCTACTTCTATAGAAGAGCTGAAGGTCTCAGCTACTTCTATAGAAGAGCTGAAGGTCTCAGCTACTTCTATAGAAGAGCTGAAGGTCTCAGCTACTTCTATAGAAGAGCTGAAGGTCTCACCTACTTCTATAGAAGAGCTGAAGGTCTACTTCTATAGAAGAGCTGAAGGTCTCACCTACTTCTATAGAAGAGCTGAAGGTCTCAGCCACTTCTATAGAAGAGCTGAAGGTCTCAGCCACTTCTATAGAAGAGCTGAAGGTCTCAGCTACTTCTATAGAAGAGCTGAAGATCTCAGCTACTTCTATAGAAGAGCTGAAGCTACTTCTATAGAAGAGCAGCTACTATAGATGAGCTGAAGGGCTCAGCTACTTCTATAGAAGAGCTGAAGGTCTCAGCTACTTCTATAGAAGAGCTGAAGGTCTCAGCTACTTCTATAGAAGAGCTGAAGGTCTCAGCTACTTCTATAGAAGAGCTGAAGGTCTCAGCTACTTCTATAGAAGAGCTGAAGTTCTCAGCTACTTCTATAGAAGAGCTGAAGGGCTCAGCTACTTCTATAGAAGAGCTGAAGTTCTCAGCTACTTCTATAGAAGAGCTGAAGGGCTCAGCTACTTCTATAGAAGAGCTGAAGGGCTCAGCTACTTCTATAGAAGAGCTGAAGGGCTCAGCTACTTCTATAGAAGAGCTGAAGGTCTCAGCTACTTCTATAGAAGAGCTGAAGGGCTCAGCTACTTCTATAGAAGAGCTGAAGGGCTCAGCTACTTCTATAGAAGAGCTGAAGGTCTCAGCTACTTCTATAGAAGAGCTGAAGGTCTCAGCTACTTCTATAGAAGAGCTGAAGGTCTCAGCTACTTCTATAGAAGAGCTGAAGGTCTCACCTACTTCTATAGAAGAGCTGAAGGTCTCAGCCACTTCTATAGAAGAGCTGAAGGTCTCAGCCACTTCTATAGAAGAGCTGAAGGTCTCAGCTACTTCTATAGAAGAGCTGAAGATCTCAGCTACTTCTATAGAAGAGCTGAAGGTCTCAGCTACTTCTATAGAAGAGCTGAAGGTCTCAGCTACTTCTATAGAAGAGCTGAAGATCTCAGCTACTTCTATAGAAGAGCTGAAGGTCTCAGCTACTTCTATAGAAGAGCTGAAGGTCTCAGCTACTTCTATAGAAGAGCTGAAGTTCTCAGCTACTTCTATAGAAGAGCTGAAGGGCTCAGCTACTTCTATAGAAGAGCTGAAGGGCTCAGCTACTTCTATAGAAGAGCTGAAGGGCTCAGCTACTTCTATAGAAGATCTGAAGGGCTCAGCTACTTCTATAGAAGAGCTGAAGGTCTCAGCTACTTCTATAGAAGAGCTGAAGGTCTCAGCTACTTCTATAGAAGAGCTGAAGGGCTCAGCTACTTCTATAGAAGAGCTGAAGGGCTCAGCTACTTCTATAGAAGAGCTGAAGGGCTCAGCTACTTCTATAGAAGAGCTGAAGGGCTCAGCTACTTCTATAGAAGAGCTGAAGGCTACTTCTCTGAAGCTACTTCTATAGAAGAGCTGAAGGGCTCAGCTACTTCTATAGAAGAGCTGAAGGGCTCAGCTACTTCTATAGAAGAGCTGAAGGGCTCAGATACTTCTATAGATGAGCTGAAGGGCTCAGCTACTTCTATAGAAGAGCTGAAGGGCTCAGCTACTTCTATAGAAGAGCTGAAGGGCTCAGCTACTTCTATAGAAGAGCTACTTCTATAGAGAGCTGAAGGGCTCAGCTACTTCTATAGAAGAGCTGAAGGGCTCAGCTACTTCTATAGAAGAGCTGAAGGGCTCAGCTACTTCTATAGAGCTGAAGGGCTCAGCTACTTCTATCGAAGAGCTGAAGGGCTCAGCTCCTTCTATAGAAGAGCTGAAGGGCTCAGCTACTTCTATAGAAGAGCTGAAGGGCTCAGCTACTTCTATAGAAGAGCTGAAGGGCTCAGCTACTTCTATAGAAGAGCTGAAGGGCTCAGCTACTTCTATAGAAGAGCTGAAGGGCTCAGCTACTTCTATAGAAGAGCTGAAGGGCTCAGCTACTTCTATAGAAGAGCTGAAGGGCTCAGCTACTTCTATAGAAGAGCTGAAGGGCTCAGCTACTTCTATAGAAGAGCTGAAGGGCTCAGCTACTTCTATAGAAGAGCTGAAGGGCTCAGCTACTTCTATAGAAGAGCTGAAGGGCTCAGCTACTTCTATAGAAGAGCTGAAGGGCTCAGCTACTTCTATAGAAGAGCTGAAGGGCTCAGCTACTTCTATAGAAGAGCTGAAGGGCTCAGCTACTTCTATAGAAGAGCTGAAGGGCTCAGATACTTCTATAGAAGAGCTGAAGGGCTCAGCTACTTCTATAGATGAGCTGAAGGGCTCAGCTACTTCTATAGAAGAGCTGAAGGGCTCAGCTACTTCTATAGAAGAGCTGAAGGGCTCAGCTACTTCTATAGAAGAGCTGAAGGGCTCAGCTACTTCTATAGATGAGCTGAAGGGCTCAGCTACTTCTATAGAAGAGCTGAAGGGCTCAGCTACTTCTATAGAAGAGCTGAAGGGCTCAGCTACTTCTATAGAAGAGCTGAAGGGCTCAGCTACTTCTATAGAAGAGCTGAAGGTCTCAGCTACTTCTATAGAAGAGCTGAAGTTCTCAGCTACTTCTATAGAAGAGCTGAAGATCTCAGCTACTTCTATAGAATAGCTGAAGCAGATACTTCTATAGAAGAGCTGAAGATCTCAGCTTACTTCTATAGAAGAGCTGAAGATCTCAGCTACTTCTATAGAAGAGCTGAAGATCTCAGCTACCTCTATAGAAGAGCTGAAGATCTCAGCTACTTCTGTAGAAGATCTCAGCTATAGAAGAGCTGAAGATCTCAGCTACTATAGAAGAGCTGAAGATCTCAGCTACTTCTCAGCTACTTCTGTAGAAGAGCTGAAGATCTCAGCTACTTCTGTAGAAGAGCTGAAGATCCCAGCTACTTCTGTAGAAGAGCTGAAGATCCCAGCTACTTCTGTAGAAGAGCTGAAGATCCCAGCTACTTCTGTAGAAGAGCTGAAGATCTCAGCTACTTCTATAGAAGAGCTGAAGATCTCAGCTACTTCTATAGAAGAGCTGAAGATCTCAGCTACTTTGTTGTGTTAACCTACCATAACCCGACGGCGCAAGCGACGGCGTAAAAAACGTCGTCATTGAGCGCAGACGTTGGTAGCCCTGACAGCGCTTGTCATTTTCTTTGTTTGTCATTTTTGACAATTCGTAATTGGCGCATTGCAGCCATCTTCAAAATTGCTTCATTGCAAAGAACCCTAAGGATTACTCCATCAACAATTCTGTTTGTTTTTTTTACAATTCCTTTACACGGCACAACGTTCCAGAGCCGGATTGCTGGCTTTGCTAATCGTCTGGATTTTTCGTGTGCTTTTGTGGATATTAAGGCAAATTATATCAGGCTTCCAGTACTCCGGGCATATAACCCCAACATCTCATTGCTATCAATTTTCAACATTTTGGCCAATAGTGAATCTTTTGGAAGCGACTATTAAGACCATTGTTCAACACAGTACCCAAAATTATTGATCACCAAAATTCTTTCAATTTTCAACAATACCGCATTGAACATTTAAAGCTGTTAGTGCCGGCGTTCAACAAAATCGTAAGCTTCAAATCCAACGTGCTATAAAGAAGAAACGGAGTAAGTACGTCAACAAGAGCCCGTGAATATTTGAAGCTGATAAAATCAGAGCAAGGGTAACCATCACCTCCAGTCACAGACGGGATGGTGTGGACCCAGTTTTTTTAAAGTTCCTCGACGGTCAGCCGAGATATTTCTCAATTATTTTGTTGTTTCTTTTGGACAAATTCCAAAATTCTTGTTTTTTTTTGTTGCAATTCAAATAATTTTAAATTGTTTTTAAAAATTATATGAGCCTGTACCAATGTACAAATTTAAAAATCTATTCATATGTACATAATTTCCTTTTTTTTATTTCTTTAAAAATACGTCTATAGATATAAGAACATATATATATATAAGAACATATATACATATATAGGCATACATATATATGAGTATATATATATATATATATATATATATATATATGAGCATATACATATGTATATATATAAATCAATATAAATTTATATAAATATACAAATATTTCATTTTTTTTATCATCATTTAGAGTCAATATTGTTAATTGTTAATCCCATTAGTTGAGAAAAACAAAATCAGCCCTTATTAATTAAAAGGACTATATAATAACCCCTTTGAGCTCAATAGGTGTTAGGTATTATTTGGATTATTAATTTAGTGCATATTGGCACCGAAATGGGATTGACAAACAAAAATTTAAATTAATAATTTTTGTATGTATCCTGGTGATTAAATTGTGCCTTTTTCTTTGATTTTTTTTGATTGTATAGATTTTGATTCCACTTATGGATATAATTAGATTTAAGTAAATCTAAGTATAATCTTTAAGTAGAAATTGTTTATTCTTAAAATGAATATGAATTTGAATAATGAATTTAAAAGAAAATAAAATGTGTTCTAGTTAATTAATTTAAAAAAAGGATATGTAAACAGGGTACAGCCGACAGAATTTGGGGGTCTTCAAATGTTTTGAAGCCCATATGGGGGTTCTTACAGAACCCATGGGAGGGATAAGAGGTACCCATTGTCATCTAGGGGTACCAACCACAACAACAACAATATTTTGAGTCCGCAACAACAACAAACTTAATCGATGGTATTTTCTTTGTGACATATGAATTTTTTTTTGTACGTAGCCGTGTGTGGACGACTGAGTATAGCCGGTACACAATAAAAGAGTAGG